ACTTAAGAGTGGAGATTTCTAAGGCATCAGAGTAGTCGAGGACTGCATTGGTTCATTTATCCCTGTTGCACCAGTATTGAGAACGAGATAAAGAAAGCAGGAGAAATAAGCACACCTGTTTCATGTCTCCACTGTGTGGAGATATTGACCTTGATGCCACAGAGCAACTTCCCATCTCCATTATGTGGTAGGAGTACCTATGGCTTGGAAATTAATGGGGATGACAAGGTCTAGAAGGGATAAAGGTCAGGTCAGCATGAAGGCCAGGCCTTGGAGGTCAGGTCCAGCCACGGACATTGTGAGCACATCTGGGTACTGGGTTTCTTGGAAAAACACTCTCCATCTCTTGCCCCTGCCCCTGTGTGAAGTGAAACAGAATCTAGTGCCTCCTGGGCCAACCGTGCCTTGGAACCTCAGCCAGAAGGAGGGCTGGCTCCTCTGGCTTCAGCTCCAAGGCCTCCTGGTAGATCTGGTCACCTTCAGAACCCAGGTTGTTCACAGGGTTCACACGGCCTCCCTGGTTCAGGTTGCCCTGTTGGTTCTCAGTGTCATCCATGCTTTGAGCTTCTTCACGGGCACCACCTACTTACTGCAGCTGTGGCTCGCTGCTCAGGGTGAGGACCACTGTCCTCTTCATAGTCCTCCAGAAGACAGTAGTAGTAGTCATTGTCATCATGGAGGTGCTCCATGCCCGAAGCTCTTCAGAAGCCTAGAAGCCAGTACTTTGCTGTGGTCTTTGGCAGCAACCTTGCCCTGGGAGCCTTTGGCAGATTAGGGCCACAAAGGCTCAGGTCCTCCTGTTTCAAGACTGCCATTGGCTCTCTGGGTGCTTCCTGTCCCAGCAGGTGGGCCTGTGAATTGAGGAAGGGACAGGCCATGGCCCATAGGATGGTTTGTGGAGGAGGGGGGGATGGTGTTAGCAGGCTCTACCTGACACTGAATCTTACTTGTGGGACACCTGCTCAGATCCCTCTGGTTGCCCTGGCCACTACTTTGGGTCACTACAGAAGACCCTGGGAAAGGATCTAGGGGCGAATACGTGTTGACATTAGCGTGTAGCATTGGGAAGGAGTGAAAATCACAATAAGTACACCAGCCTAAGGTGAACTACTGGAGAATTTCTCATGATCCCAGACTCCACATTTCAGATGTTGCCTGACATGAGTTTCAGTGGGTGTGGTCAGCTCTGTATGTCTCTGTATGTATGCAAGAGTCTTCAAGGACTCTGAACGCACAAGCCAGTCACAGAAATCCTCCTTCAACACAGGCATCTTGATCTTATATTTCGCAGTGTTTGGCCAGCACAACACCGCAAGTCACCCAATGCCACCCTTGAAAAAGTTGAACTCCTCAGGATTGCTGTAAAGAATCTGCATCAGGGTCCTTGTGCAATGTCCTGCCTAGTACTTCTCAGCTCTGCAAGTGCTGCCATGCATAGGGACCTGCGCTCATCGTGTTGTACTGCAGGTAAAACCGCATAGAGTTGAGGGTGTGTTCAAACAATACCTGGGCAGAGGAGGCACCATAGACACTTTGAGGAAGTAAACAAGAAGTAGAAGTTGTGTGCAGCTCTTGTGGAGGAGTGACTGCTCTCAGCGAAGGTGTTGCAGGGTGCTGCGGGTTAGGGTGAGGTGCTAATAGGACCTGAGGCAGAAAATGCAACATTTTCCTTTGGTTTGCTTCTTTGTTGTTGCTTTGTGTTCTGACAGTCTGACATGGACCCTGGCTAGCCTGAACCTTACTTACTACTTACTATTACATCATGCTGGCCTACAGTTGCCCTATCCTAGGGTTTCAGCCTCCCGAGGAGCACAGAAATGCCTGGGCTCATGATTAGTTCATTAATTCCAGAGAAAAAGCTATTACAACTGTAGGGTTAGTTGTGTATTGAGTTGATGGATGACTGGACAGCTGAGAGGAATTCTAAGTATATTCGAGGACAATTAGCTCAACCTGTAAATATGAACATCAATGCCTAGAAATATAAACACCTTGTCGAATAATTGTGCCTATTAGCTGAGTGAAGCAGGTCGTTTCTGTTGTGGAAGAAATAACCAGTTCTTATTGTTAAGGAAGGGCATGGAACATTGCTCCTTCTGGCTAAAATGGTTTCAGAGAAAGATCCAGTACCTGAAGATTGACCCTAGTTTGATGGGATTTTCAGAGTGCTCCCTGGTGGCAGAAAGTTCTTTAAGTGCACGGCAAATCCAACAGTAAGAGAGTCAGAGCAGCTGCCAGTGGTGGCTCTGAATTCAGTAACTCCAAATCCCCAAAGTAGGCCACCAGAAGCAGACCATGGCACCTTACTGAGGAAGTGTTATATGGATGGAGAAATATTTATCAAATTTCTTCAGGGAATAGCAGAAAGACTTCCCTCCTCCTATGTGTCAATGGAATCTCTTTCCCTTAGAAACAGATCCCAAACAGTTATGAGTACTCAGCCCATCAGAATCCAAGAACCCTTTCAACATGGGTTCATTGGGTCCCTCCTTGAGTTCTCTCCATGTTTTATGAAAGTGACCTCTCATAGACACACTCAAAATGGTCCCTTGCACAGCACTCTGACCTAGAGCATAGTGACACCTCATCTAAATGGAGGGAAGGCCAGTCAGAACCTGAGGGCGGGCATGTGGTCACCTAGAGCATGTCTCAACCTGACCTGGCCCTGCTGTTCGGTATGCAAGCTGTGTAACAACTTCCTCCAAGAGGAACATTTTATCTCAGAGCAAGGCTCCTGAAGACCTACGACATTTGAAATTGAGGTGAAATGTTTCGTGATAGGGGAGAGCTGGTTGGGACACAGGAAACAAACAGCTCAATCACTTCATCTGGGTTTAGTAGATATTCGGCCACACTTCCTCATGTCTCCCCAGGAGCAGGGTCAAAGGCACATCTCCATTCCACAGGGCGGAATATGGGATGACAATTCACAGTAGGTGGATGAGGACCTACGACAATGCCAGGGTCACTTTACAGGGCCTCAGCCCAAGTAGGATGACTGATGCCACTGGATGTGGCAGCCTGGCACTCAAGTCTGTCTGGACCCCACAGTTTGTACTCAGAGGATTGTTGGCAAGTGTCCAAATGGAACTCAGGACATTTACACTAGGTTGGAACATCACACCCTTAGCCTCAGGATCTTTCCTCTGCTAATTCCAGATTTCCCCCAGTGAACCGATACCTCTTCCTCTGATTTTCCAAGTGTGAGCCCCACCAGAAGAAAGTGTTCATTTTCTTAGGAGGGTTGATTGCACCATACCATCAGGAAGTCAGTTAGGAGCTAGGGCCCTGAGAGGCATGGCAGCTGTAGTAAAAGCATCAGGGGGTGGGGGTCAGGAAGGAGGAGGAGGTCTCCCTGGTGTAGGGGCATTCTTCCTAAAGAGAAAAAGTTGCAGGAGCTCAGAGTCCCTGCAAACAGCCTGAAGGGACCAAAAACCACTGCTTTCCCCTTCCCACCCCTGCAAGACTAAGAAGAGTTCTCAGGGTATCCCAAATCCCCATGGGGCAGGAGAGAAGTGTGGAGCTCAATGAGGCATGCACAACCTGAGGGCAGGAGCTCTACTTGGATTTCATTCCTCTAGAGGAGGAGCAAAGCTAAACCGGGCATCCAAGGCTGCTGGGGCCTGCCAGCCTTTGCCATGTTCATAATGTCTCCTGGCCAGCTCAGAGGAGACTTTTCTTTCAGTATGTGGAGTCAGTACAGAGCCCCAAAACTAGACAATGTGCATCAAATAAAACACAGTGGAGGACTCAGGTCTGAATGGGACATTTCTATCATACCCCTTGCTCACAAGGCACAGGGAAATTTGAGGAAGATTGGAGGAATATTGGTAGAGCTGGGAGATGTGATTAACTGGGCTAGACATGACAAGTGCAGTGACCTCAGGTTCAAGGACATGAACCTGCCTGTAGTGCAATTCTGATACATGCTACAGTAGGAAGCACCCTCAAATCACCATGCTGGGAGACATCATATGGACACAAAAGCAAGACATCATGTGTCTGCAAGCTGATGAGTCTCTTGGAGCTCTCAGATTCACAGGACAGAAAGTACACTATGGTTTGCAAGGCCTGGAGATGGGGATATTGGGCCAAGATCATGTCCTAAGTGTGGGGCTCTAAGAATAGGTCACGTCTCTTTCTCTCACTAAGATGAACTTTGTTTATTGGGACCGGCAGCTTCCCATATGGAAGGAAATGGTGCTTCGAATTCTCTATGCACTGAGTATTCTGGGACACTGCTAAGCACCCATCCTGCTTATACATTTTGAATAGAAGCAAAGGTCCCCCAAAGTACTAAATCTTGAGGACTGGGGGTTCCACCAGTCAGGTGACAAAATACAGACAGGACACACAGCAGTCAAGTTGTCTGAACAGGCGAGGGTGGGACCATGTGCTCCCTCAGCGGGAATGGAGGAAATGAGAGAGAATCCTCAGGCCTGGATGGACAGATAATCCTCTCCCTTTGAAGCAGCAGGACTTCTTGCCAATGTGGCTCCTCATGCCCTGCAGGTCCACAGAGAGGGAGGGCAGCTCACATAACGTTCCCATTCCTCCAGCCGATCAAACCTGGCTTTAGCCTCTGGGACCCACTGCAGTGTGGGTAGGACCAGACATGTCTAGAAACACACTGTCCTCTCTTTGGGAACTTTCCCAACCTGTCTGTCCTAGTAAGGAACTGGTTCTCACAGAGGCAGAGCATGTCATAGTGATTCCATCTTCCCTGCATCACCTCAGGAAACAAGACCTCTTTGCCATTCTGCTTAAATGCCATTTCTGGGATTGACTACTCTCTGTCAAATACACATACCCACAGTTTAGCAACACCAAAAACAATGGGACCAACATATTGAGAATCTACATCTTTATTGCTAAGATAATTGTAGAGAAGAAAAGGTTGTCGTGGCCAGCAAGGGGTCCCTGACATTGGTGGCATAAGAGGAAACCATGCTCATCTGGCTCCAGGACATGGATGGCACTCAAGTGCTGCTCCAAAACCTTTAGGAAGCATTGTTCTGTGGACCAGGTGGCATACTGTAGAACGTCACCAATCTATTATTTCTTCTGAAAATGGATCTCCTGGTCCTAAACCAATCCTATAAACAGGAGAAAGGGATGCTTTAGTACTAGGCATTGAAGAACACATCCTATAACTCTGTATCCCGGGTTACACTTTGGAATGTATTTGGAACCCACCCAAGGGACTGGTGTATGCTAGGCATGTGCTCTAGCACTGAGCTACTCCCCAAGAAGGAGCACTTAAATCTTCTGATGGCCTGGAAACTAATTTTTATTGGTCTAACCCCAAGAAGGGTTGAAAAGGTACCTCAGCATATACTGGTTGCTCAGAATGCTGGAAGCAACAGGTTTCATTCTCACTGAAACAAGAAAACACCCCCCAAGACTCAAGCCCCTTAGGACATGTAATGGCACTTGCAGTCCTTCAGCCACAGAACAGACCCAGAACATTGCCTCTTCTCTCCATCACTGATATTTTTATTGCATTCCCTTAGGAAAGGATGCAGATCTAGCTCATGGGTGTTCCTGGTCCTTGCTGTGGAAAAGTATCAAAGAGAGTTAGAAGTATATGAAGGCCAAAGGCTGCCCCTCAGGATTCCATCCACGCTGTTAGCCTTTTGTGAGCACCCAGAGAGCACATTTTATGACACAAAGGACACCTCTTCCTGCTTCAGGCTTCCTGCCTGGCTTCCCAGAATACTGTCTACAGGCTTTTCCCTTGTGGGCATAAGATCTGGAAAAGGCAGGGGTGATTGCAAAGGTGGTCAGAGTGCACCTTCACAGCCAGCAAAACACAGGTAACAGTGCCATAGGCTGCTTGAGGTCCCTGACCCCAGTACTGGTCTGAGAACTAGGCTAGGAATCTGCACTTACAGACCAAAGCGAGGAGAAATCAGAGAAAAGATTCTCTGAGACATTCAGAGTGACAGCGATTAAGATGGGTAAGAACATGGTCACTTTACTTTTTGAGGCATGTGGACAGCATGGCCTTCAGAATGTCATCAAGACACACTATGTCTACGGAGGGAGAGGAAAAGGACTCCGCCATCTTAGGTTTTCAGTTGGGTCAATCGGCATTTCCTGCCTGACAAGATGGAGGTCTTGCATCATCTTCAAGCTAGCCTAGCTGTGTACTGGCCTGGCAGCTTTGGGAGGCCCCTTCAGGGTTCAGCTGTGCTGCTGAGCTTCCCTGTCTAGACAGTATCATCACCGGATGTGGGGCCCTTGCAAAATACTTTTTTTTTTTTCATACTACTTACCTGCACATCAGCTTCGGACACACCCATCCATCTTGCAAGATCCTTTCTGAAGGGAAAAATTCCAACATTTAGGCTTTGTGGAGAAAATAAAGTGTGTTAGGACATGCTCGATTTGCTTTCAAATGCTTAAGGGTCCATACTCCTTGCAAGCACCTGTCTATATACACAGACACTATTCTCAGCATTGACCTTAGGGCTCACCTTAGCAACAGGCTTCTTTCAGGGACCAAATTTAAGGGTACACCCCAAAACACAGATGTACTTAAAAGGTGAAAATCAGTTAAGAGAGCTCCCGGGATGAAAACCATTAGCAAAGTTTTAATACAAGATGGAATATCTCCTGCATTTCCCAGCCACACCTCAGGCTTCTCACCCATACCTCCAGAAACGTATGTACAAGAACAAGCATTATCTAAATTTCCCAAACTTGTGTCACTAAAACAGGGCAACAAAAACAGTATTTCCCATTGGGCATAGACCTTATCTCCCTACCCCAGAACCTAATTTCAGGTGGTGGTCCTAGCAGGGCGGCTTTATTTCTGGAGGAAATCAGAGAGCTGGGAAGAGCCAAAGAACACCCCAGACCAGGGTGCACTGCCTGCGAAGCAGGCGCCTAGTAGGGCAACCTGCTTACCTTGCTCGCAAACTTGGGTAGCGCGTCTCATGGAAAAGGCGCTCCAGATCTTGCAGTTGAGACAGTGTAAACCTGGGCCGGCGCCGGGGAGGCTGCCTATCCCCAGTCAGTAGACTGTTGGTGCCCTCAGGCATAGCAGCCTCTTGCTGAGGCTGTGGCTGATCACTGCTGCTAGGGACTTCTATTGGGTGAATCTTGTCCATGGAGCTAGAAGCACCAATGCGAGCATATTCTTCTTCCATTTCTTCTTTATTTTCTCCCTCCTTTACTACTCCTGTGACTTCCAGAGTAGGACTTAACTGAGTGAGGTCTTCTTGAGCAACTTTGCCCTGAGCAAATTCACCCTGAGCAAGTTTGCCCTGATCAAGCTCACCCTGAGAAAACTCGCCCTGTACAACCCCTTGCTTGCCTCCTTCCTCTCCAGCCTCTGAGACGACCACCGCATTCTCATCTGAAACAGAGAAAACAGATAAAGATCTGAGAATCGTGGCCCAGGGGTCTTTGGAAAGCCTGGAGAGTGGACACAGGTAGAGACGGGTAATGAAAGCAGAAATCCACTGGTCTTGCCACTGCATTGCTTCCGGGACACCTCCAAGGTCCAGAGAAAAGTTTACTGACCAATCTGTTGTTCCTGGTCTTCATTAGGTCCCAGACCCAGCAGCCTTCTGAAACTGAGGCAGCACCCTTGACGAGTCTCCATCCCGGGAGTCTTTCCTTCAGACCTACTCCGTACTCCGCGAGCTTCAAAATCCGTGTGCTCGCAGTTCCAGCACCAGAAATACAGCTCTGATTCCGGACCCGGAAGGGTTCTCTCCTGACACCTCATCCAAATTACGGTGTGTCCAATCCGCAGTGCCTGTGGGTTTGTTCTCTGAGGTGAACAAGCAATCGCAGTTTAGGACTGCAAAGACCAGAGAGTGCTTTAAAAAGGAATGCAGCAAATGGGTGAGTGGCTCCAAGTTGCTGCTTAGCAGACACCTCTAGCCTTGGGTAAGGCTGAACTGTTCAAATTCTGTTGCAGGTGTGGAGAGCTGCTTGTTTGTCAGGCAGCTTTGTTATAGAGCTCTCAGTGAAAATCATGTTTTCACTCTGGCCCTTCACCTGGAGTCAGGGATAAGCTGTATGTTTTGCCAAGTTCACTTCCTTTTGTTTGAGACAACAGGCAGGATATTTTGCCAAGTTCACTTCGTTTTATTTCTGTGTGGATTACACGGACAGGTAAACAAGTTTGACTTCTCCTTGAACCCCTTCGTTGTAGTGAGTTGCTTTGCTCTGACTATGAAAATGGATTGTGGCATAAATGGGTGTGACAATTTCTACTAGTAGCCTTCTTGAGCAGATCCACTGTGTAGTGCGTGTGTTTCGTTTTCTTTCAATGCTCACTCCCCACTCAGGAACTGTTGGTCTCTGCCTGTGGGATCTGGCCCACAGGGAGCAACATAAAGACCTTCTGCAGCTCAGCAGAGCCTTGAACCCAGTTGGCTAATTAAACTATGCAAATGCCCTTTAAACCAAATGGCAAAAAGCATCCTTTAATAAGGCAGTACAACTTAGACTCCATCATTGATGCCCCACATAGTGATTTGCCCAGATGTAGAGTGTGCCCTTACCTCATCTGTGCTGCTTGAAAAGTCCAGTGTGATGGGAAATATGTGGGAAGGCCGGGGCAAGATCGTCCTGACAGGCTGTGTTCACAAGGGGCCTGAAGTAGTCACAGGCTCATTCTGATAGTGTTTGCATGGGAAGAGAACTTTCTGTGCCTAGCTGTGCTTGACCCAAGGACCTAGGGTGACCCAAGGACGTCCACAATCATCAAAGATCAACCTTGGGCACTGGCCCCAAACTTGGTGTCTCAGAGCTGTGAAGGTGAAAGACACAGGAAGTAAACAATTCTGTATGCAAGCTTCACCAAGAACAACTTCAGGAAACGGGGAACCTGAGGAAAATTTAGAGAAACTCCCCAGACTAGGTAGATGATGACACCAAAATGTAACAGTGTCATTGAACTCTGTCATCTAGTGGTTTTTGTTTTTAATAGGAATGTGGCAGAGTCTGGAGAAAGGCTGAGGTAGTTGTTAGGAGATGGCTTACTTCTCTTGGATGGACAGTCTCTTGGCTGAGACAGTGGACGGTCCACATGGTCTGGCCCTGTTCGCCTATTGTCCACCTGGTTAGTAATGGCTGATCCAAACCTCCCCTCTAAGCCCCTTTGCTCATCCCTGTCTAAAGCTTTGTTATTTGCTGGCTTTGACTGTCTGCTAGCTATTGTGTGGTGCTATAACCTCTGACATTTCATCCCTCCCAATCGTCTTTTACTAATCATCTCTCTTCTCATGGCTACCAAGAAGCAGCTGCAATTGTTCTTCCTATTCTCCTGGACTCCAGGATGGTTGTGAAGGGCTGTCCTGAAACAGGGATGGGAGGCTATCTTAGAAGCTGTCTTTACTTACTCCCACAATTATCTGTGGTAGAAGCCCAGCTATATTAGAAAACAATACTACCACATGTGCTTTCCCTAAAGACCTGGTGGGCTGCCAGGCTGGATGACACTAGCTGCAAGCCCTGTCCTTCTCTCATTGTCAGTTTGGCTGTCTCATACTCAGTCTGCACAAACTCTTTGTTTCTCATCCTAGTGGTTCTGGTTTGACTCTTTCAACCCTAACCCTTCTTTTAGCCCCAGCATCTCTATAGCATTTGTGAACAACTTGCAAATTTGAACATGGGTGCTTTCCCCTCACTACCAACAGAGACATAGCTCCTGCATCAGTACCAACCCTGGATTCTGAGATAAATTTCCCAGGATGCTGACTCACAGGGTTTAGGGGAAGCAGGTAAGCAGTCACATATTGAGGGTAAAGTACATCATTGATCACATATTCAGGGAGCCCTCAAGTCTTCTCATTGCCTTCCCTTTCTGCAGCACTCACAGGACACTGGGCATCTTCTTTTACTACCGGCAATTTCCTCCCTGCGCTTAGCAAAGGAGTGATGGAGAGGGATTTGGTCTGTGATGATGGACTCAGCACACTAAAAGATGGATGCCTTGCTATATAACCCAGATGAGCTGTGGATTGTTCTATGCTAGTATCTAACTCAGCCCCCTCTGGTGATATGTTGAGTGATAATACTACAGCTGTCCTCCAAAGGAGCTAAGGGCAACAGAGAGTGTCTGACCTGGAGAAGTCTTTGTGAAGGCCACAGGCCAGGGTAGAAAGGCTGCTGTATCTAGGTCCTCAAAAGCTAGTTTGTACATGGACTCTTTGGTAAAGTTTGGTCCCATTTAGGTGTTTGCAGGGAAGCTGCATTCAAAAGATTGAATTTGATCATGGGGTCAGTAGAAGGCAATGAGTGGACTAAGGCAAACCACTCCCAAGGAAGCAGAACCTGTACGCTATCCATGTGTCACAGAGAGGGTAAGTGTTAGATGATTCACAGGATTCTTAGCTTCTCTAATGAGGACTCAGAGGTCTACAACTCTAAATAGTCCCCTGTGTACTGTTCAACCCTTGGAGTACTACAGGTACCTGACTCTAACATCTAATCCTGAATGTGGAAATATTCAGTTGGTCATGGATTATTACAAATTTTAATGAATATACATGGTTTTGAAAAATGAATGAATCTTTGTCTGTCTGTCTGTCTGTCTGTATGTCTCTCTCTCTCTCTCTCTCTCTGTGTGTGTGTGTGTGTGTGTGTGTGTGTGTGTGTGTGTGTGTGTGTTTAATCCCAGTTTTATCCCAGTACTCTCATGTTCTGGCAACACAGAACATCGTGATTGAGTAAATTAATAAGATCCTGCATGAGGAGAAGGGTCTTGATGTTGGTGACCCTTCTGAATCTGCTTATCTTTCAGCTTATGACAACCTAGCCTGTGATCCAGCTCCCCATTCAGAGTCTACAAGGTGCGCTAGCTAGATGTTAGGGAGCCTAGGGAAAGAATGATAAGGCTTATTCCTCGCCAAAGCCTCATATCATTCTATAAGATGTCACCTGCCATGAAGAATCAGATTATTAAGGCCTATCTATTGGGAACCAGTCCATGATACCACTCTGGCTTTTTTACTTTGGTTGGGGAAAGATTTGGGATGAATGCAGTTTCAAATGACAGGGATGACTCCTGTTTGGTCAGTGGGTATAAGATGAAGAGTCATGTCTTGGCTCATAGGCTCTGGACGCTTCCTATTTCTCTTGCTTCTATACTGTAATGCAAGGGATGAATATGGCACAGCTTTGCTCTCCAGCTTAACCCATGGATTCTTGTACTTCAGGATTCCCGGTTATATTTTGAGTCCCACAGACGTGTTCTGGTTCCCCAAGTGTCTGTCATCAGGAATTTTGAGGGAGGGTACCCATGTGTACTTTACCTGTGCCTTCACATGTACATATTTTAGTAAGTTTTTACTGTATTAGGCTTCTATACTATTCCTCAAATGCTTCTTAATTTTAGCTCTCTCTCCCTGTATTCCCTCCCACAATCCCTCCCCATCTCCCATTCTCAATTTGATCTTCCCATTGCAGCTGCTCCATAAATGTCTATTCTATTTCCTTTTCCTAAGAAGGTCTATCTGTCTATCTGTTCCCTTTGGACCTTTACTTTATACTCACCCTCTTGGCAAAGAAAATGAACCTATTACTTACTAGTAGACAACATCATTTGAGAGTTCTCATCTGGGACTCAGTTCTCCTTTTTGGTTAGCTCCATCTTGCAGTAAAAAAGCTGTATAAGTTATGAATGGAAGAGAATCAGGGATCTTTCTGCTAGGCAGCCATCATTTTTAAAGATAAATTGTCTACTGGAGTCAGGGGCAACAAAAAGGTTCCCATGAGAGGCTGACCCTTTTAGCTATTGTGGGGAGTGAAGATGCCAGAACAATCTTAGATATAAGCAGACACATCACAGAGTGTCACTACAAGCCACAGGAAATCAAGGATTAATCTCATTACTTGGGAACTGATCTTTGGGGAGAACTACAATACCAGGTCAGAGACACCCCTCCAGGCAGAGGGCTCAAAGTAAGAAAGTGGTTACTTAACTTTTGCTGAAGCTGTTGTTTCCATTTACAAGTTGATCCAGGCACTTTGCTATCCTGCCTCCTGCAAAGGTGGAATGAATTAGACCCACATAGCCTCAGGGGGAAAGTATTTCATTTTTTTTTATATTCAGTTTAACTATGCCTGGAATATCCCTTAGGTAATAGGGAATCCTGGTCACAGGATGGCAGGTGTTTGTTTGTTTGTTTGGGTGTTTGGTTGGTTGTTTTTTTGTTTGTTTGTTTGTTTTGTTTTTCAAGACAGAGTTTCTCCATGTATTCCTGGCTGTCCTGGAACTCACTATGTAGACCAGGCTGGTCTCAAACTCAGAGATAAGCTTGCCTCTGTCTTCCAATTGCCAGGATTAAAGATGTATGATACCACCGTCTGGCACAGGAGGGCAGTTTTAACTACAATACTATTCCCAAATTGGATCTATCCTGTAGTAGAGGAGGAAAATGGATTGAAAATCCATAGTTCAGCTTTTCCTTTATTTAAGAAACCCCCCCAAAAAACCACATCCTAGAAGGCCATCCCCTGATAATTCTTTGCTTTCCAAAAGCTTTCACCTCTCTATTCATACCTATCTCTCCTGTAGCCCTCAGTACTCAGAGAATCTCTTTCCTCCTTATTCAGGAGACCTATTTGTGACTAGTCACCATGATGTAC